CAGACGCCATCTTTTGTGAGCTACTCATTAGGAGAGACAGTTTGTGTAACAAACCGTGAAAGATGAAGTCTGCGGCCATCCATTGTGCAGGAGATGTCCCTCATTTTCTTTTTCCTTTCTAGAGGGGAACGACCATTCATAGGTAGCTACTTGGTTAATTTCTAGGAAGAAATAAGCAACTAACTGAAAAAAAGGATGTATTAACTTGTTTGGTAGGTTGTATGTTCTATCTTGCGGTAACTACGTTGTTTTATTTCTGAGGAAGAAAATTGTTTGTGGGGGAGGGGGAAAGGGGCGAAAGAATTGTGAGACAGTTGTTATCGTGCATGAAGAATTTTAGATCCTGTTTGAATTGGACACGGACTGCCCGGGCTACGGGCTGGCCACGGAGGTTACGTGGCCGTGCTAGAGTCGAGAGACGTCTTGCAGTTACACGGTCCATGCTTGCCTTCTGCGCTGTAACACCGTGTACTTCTGAGACAGTCCGACGTTTCGTAGGACCATACTACCTCCATCATCAGGACTTGGCGGTAAATTAGCACGTAATCAGCAAGGCGCAGCTGGAAAGCGAGGACTTCAATTCCAACACAAAGCAGCACGTTTGAGAAGCTGCTGGTCACTCACTCACTAAATTCTCTGCCTTTCATGATATCGTAGTTTGATGACGGTATTTGTAAGGGCCCGTCTTTGGAATCTCCACTGGGCTAGTTGAACCCTCTTCATATCTTCACATCCAGTTTCCGTAAAAACCACTTTAATAATATCCACCATTTACTTGTAGGCCCCTTTCAGATTTTCCAGAATTCTGTGTAAATTATCATCTGTCCCATACTTTTTTATTGCTAGTGGGGTGGGACTAAGTCCCTTGCACTGCGGCCACTTCTGGCCCATTGCACCAGCACCAGATGACAGGTGAGGGTGATTGTGGAGCATTTGGTGGAATTAAGATTGACAGGGGAAACTGAAGAACTTGGAGAAAACCTGCTCCAGCGCCACTTTGTCCACCACAAATCCCACTTGACCAGGCCCCGGGATCGAACCCGGGCCGCCGCGGTGGGAAGCCAGCGACTAACCTCTTGAGCTATGGCGCGGCCAGTCCCATATTTAAGGTGGTGGTTTATCTCCATCTAATTCTTGGTCAGGTGGTTTTGTTGGCCGTATGAACGTGTGTAGTACCAGTCTTCGCTGTTAGCAGCGGGTCTACCTCTCTGTCTATGACGGGATCACCTGAGCCACCCTCCCTCTCCTGTGCCCCACTTCACCAAGCCGCTGGGACCTCAACCCCTATTCATGCCACCAGCCATCTCGGTAGGGTATACACATTTATTTGGACTTATTCCTTTACACACATTTTCAAGCAGGTTTTTCGGTTATCACAAGTTGACCACAGCACAACAGGAACAGGTCCGCAGACCTCAGAATTGCAGAGATGTATTTTGTTCCACATGGGAAAATCGAACAAAATTAAACAGTTACACAAATGTTGTTACTCGCCTGGTTTAACTGATTGTTTGTTGGGTTTAGGATAGGTAAGTGTGGCAACACTGTTTGTAGGCGTAACCTGTCACGGGATGGGACATGGTCATCCTTAGGGGAGTGGGGTTTGGGGGAGAAGGCTCAAAAAAGAAGAGTTTGATGAAAAGAGTGGTTTGTAATGAAAGGAGGTTTTGTTAGCAAGTGTAAGAGGCGGCATCAGAGCGGCAGGGTTGGTATGGACGTGGCGCGAGGCTTTACGATTTGCATGCGGTTGAACTTCTTCTGCTTGTGGCCATGCGGTGGCCACTGCCCCCGGGAACCTCTATAAACTATTTGCCACTGCAACGCCAAATCTAGCTGATTCGAAATCCCATCGGAGGACTTCGGCCTTTTAAAGGATAGTGGCAACTACATGCACCGCCGGCTTTAACATTAAAAAACTCTGCATTTATGTGTTCCATATGATTCTCACAATAAACAGCGATTATTTCCCTAAACAGCATTAACCGGTTGGGCTTTGTAGCGGAGACGTAATGTGTTTCCTGTGAGGTACGGACTGAATTTATATATACTGCATTCTGCCCACACAGTGTATTTATGTGTCCCGCATGGTTCTCACAATAAACAGCGATTATTTCCCTAAACAGCATTAACCGGTTGGGCTTTGTAGCGGAGACGTAATGTGTTTCCTGTGAGGTACGGACTGAATTTATATATACTGCATTCTGCCCACACAGTGTATTTATGTGTCCCGCATGGTTCTCACAATAAACAGCGATTATTTCCCTAAACAGCATTAACCGGTTGGTCTTAGGTAGGTAAAGGTAAAAAAGTAAAGCTATCCTTGTAACAGCCCGTGAAGGCCAATAGGAGTGTGAGAGGTCGAGGCTTGCACATTTCCTAGACAATCGATTCACAGATGGTGGTGAGGTTGTCACCCTTACGCGCTGGCCGGTCGCCCTTTAACTACAGGAAGGTTCCTGGTACTCATTCCTTTTAGAGGCTCAGTCTACTTCAGGGCCATAGTGCGGCTGGAAGGATTAGGTCAATTTAAAAATCCAGTGACCTCAACGGGAATCGAACCCACGACCTTCCGTCTTGTAATATAGTGCCTCAACCATTTACGCTATCGCGTTCCTCCTCCAGAGCTCTTTACTTCATTATATTCAATATTGACTCAAATTTGTTTTAACAAAAAGCCCATAGCTAATAAATACGTTCGGGTCTCTGGGACAGTAAACAGTCACAGAATATTTACCAGTTTCCCAGAATACATATTCTTCAAACAAAATTCTTTGATTTTCCTTTTGTACTTCCCAAAGACCTGCGTTGCTACCGACGCCAATGTTAGACATCCACTGTGCCGCAGCATATATTGGTCGAAAAAGCGTCCAGTCTCCAATCTTCACGAGACTAAGCAACACCGCTCCACGACCGCGCGACCTGTCAGACAGTTGCAGAAACTGAATCTGTCTTGTAGGCCAGAAAGCAGGCAGGTGCATTTGCTGAAAACATTACGTTGTCATGACGAATGTGGCGCTATCGTGGCCTGTAGACGGCCTTGGAGTCCGTATCTTGAATACACAAGTTTCGGTATTTGTGAAGTTAACTTATTTATCTGGTTTCGCTCAACCGGGAACCAGTCGCTCAGACTTCACAACTTCTTCCCGATCATCACCGAGCTCCGTGCGGTTCTGCATGGAATTATGCTACTAATTCGGCAATTTTTCTCTGTGGTATTTATCGTTCTTTCTTACTCCTACATGCATCAGATGCGATATGGTCGTGTCTCACGGCTCCTCAAACTCGTCATCAAATACTTACACAGCGCTGTATTCTGGCATATGACTGCATGTAGTCTGGCAGAAGTTTAACGATGTCTCAGACGAACATACTGTCTCCATCTTCATGGTTAAAAGTAAGCCAAACACGTACCCAGCAAGAAACAAGCAGCAACTTGTGCTTCGAACGTCAAGTAGTAGTAGTACTCTAACTGCTTTCTGGGCTTAATTTTCGATCCTGAAGACTGAGGCAGAAAATTCCTTTGAAACGTTGCTAAACTTAACCTCTCTACGCAGCGTCACATCCCAGAACATAATATTCTTCAGACCATTGTTTATTCTGCTTGTTACTTTTTCTCTTGTGTCTCAATCTGAAGATGGAGTTAGAAAGTGCTATCGAAACGCCACTAAACTTCTGCCAGTGTAATTGTCATATCGCCGGGAGGCCCTCAGATCATATATTAAGATTATTATTATTATTTTGGTGGGTTTATGCAGTATAGGCTGAGAGATAGGTACCGACGTTTCGAAGAAACCCTCCTTTGTCCTCCGTTCCCTACATTACTGGCCTCTTTCTTACTATCGGCTTAACGAAGACGGAGACAGCAGGTTCCTCCGAAATGATAGCGCCTATCTACCAAGCTACACGGCCTCACTTCACAGAAGACAGTTATCTTCATAGTTGCAGCTATGACAACGTCAAATGCAGTCAGTAACTTTGCTCGCCTAAACAAGATTGTGAAGTATTATACACGGTTCACAGCGGCTTCCTTGCAGTCTGTTAGGTTAGTTGCATCAAAGGTTTATAATACAAGTGGAAGGAAAAGCCAGGTGATCATATTGAGTGAAACTGCGCAATTTGGTACGTGTCAGTATGGCTGAAAATGGGAACTGACTGACGGCTTTTCACGATGAACGTCGCTATGGAGTGAAAAGAATCGTTCCAGAGGTTTAGGCTCTGATATTAGGTTACAGACGGACCGATACGCATTGGCTCCGTATTGCGAAACCAAGTGGCTGGAGCAGAGCCCTTCTTGAGACGCTGACAGTGATCAGCTGGCCATGCAATTCATAGCATTTCGTGGAACCTGAAATTTCATATCCGTATTCAAAAGAGCCGACATTAAGAACGCTGGTCGAGAGGTAACGGTCTAGACTCATGGTTGGGAAGGTTTTGGTTCGAATCTCGGTCGGGACACCGCCTATCTTAACTGCGGGTTTTCGTGATTTTCCTCAGTCCCTCTTGGTAAATGTCGTGATAGTGCCTCAATTCGGTCACGACCGCTTCTTGCCAAAACGTTTCCAATTCATCGTTCATGATGATCATCAGCAATGCTTTGTGGCAGAGCCCTCGACCGATCCTGGTGCCGGATAAACGTAGTCCCGGCCTTGGCGTCCTGCTTCTTTACGTGAGGCATTCCTTATTGCTTTGGAAAAGTAGCCAAAAAATGACAAAAGAGTTTCAGAACACCTGTAGCATGAAAACGAAACAATTCTACTTTTGCGCATGCCTGTACTTTTCTTGCTGTGTAGGGATGCAAGGCACACAGGTATATATAACCAAACCCACTACGTGATGCTGTGTAGCTGTCTTGGAGTTTGGTGGGGGTTGAGGGGGGGAAAGTTGTGGCGTCCCTGCCCGTGGAGATGCTGGAGCAAGTAGGCTGGCGGGCGGGTGGAGGGGGAAGCAACAGCGGGCAAGTAAGAGCTACGTCTTGGCCGACGACTCAGTCTACGCTCAAGGACGTACGGAGAGGAAGGTTGTTTCTGCTACTCTGGTTGTCAGGTTGTTGTAATTTCCAATGTTCCACAAGTGTATTTTCTCAGAGAGAGGTACTAACGCGAACATTTGACGTGTTTGTCAACGCGCGGTTCCAAGTGACAGCGGCAATGATTCGCAAGGTGTGCGCATGTGTCGAGACGTCAGTATCGGGATAACTGTTGTGGTTGGTGGTGAGTGCAGTTCTGTTCTTTTCATTAAACCTTTAAAAGACAGTGGTCACTATACGTGCCAACTGCTTTAGTATTAAAGGGCACACGCGGTGCATTTGTGTGTACCGCGTGGTTCTCACAACAAACCGCGATTATTTCCCTAAACAGCATTAACCGGTTGGGCTTTGTAGCGGAGACGTAATGTGTTTCCTGTGAGGTACGAAATGAATTTTTATATATATAGTTTAAGTGAACGTATTATGTCAGTTATGACTTATGCCTGTCCCACGTAGGAGTAGGACGCTCACCTCTAGAAATTGCAGCGCCTGTAGAACAGTACACCGCCCCATTAGAAATCACAGGTGCACACCAGTCCGCGAATTGCACGTGGCTTTCAAAATTCCCTACGTGTATGACTATGTAACGAAATTATGTAGGGAACAGGCAGAAGTAATCCTACGCCATGCCAATCCAAATGTAAATGATACTGGACAAGGAGAAGCCAGGCACAGGAAGTATAAGAAGCTTAAACTTGTAAGATTTGAGGCTTTCACGGCGGTGACTATGAAGAAAGCAGTCTTCTGGGATTTGGCACCGTGTATATGTGGTGTTAACCGACGTTTCGGAGGAACGTCGGTTAACACCACATATACACGGTGTGCTTTCTTCAAGCTTAAACTTGGTGGCGGTAAGGCCTACAACCGTTCAACTGACGAACTGTAATTCCAGAGTAGTTACATAATTTAAGGCATAACCTTCTGGACAAGCCTGCATTGACAGGAAACCTCTGCATACCTTGTACAAATGTTACTTAGCATGGTGCAGTGAGACCACAGTGATCTGAACGGCGTGACAGCGCGGATATACTCGTGCCGAAATTACAGTGCAACAAACGTAGCGCCTAAACAGAAAGACCGACCCCTCCTTCGTCGATAAGGAGGCCCCATTTCGAAACATATGTCTAGAAGAGAATGAAAATCTTGGTCATGGATCTTGGGCTTTGTTATGGAGACGTAATATGTTTCCTGTGAAGTATGAACTGAATTTTTGTGTATTATTTGGATGAACTTCTTGCTTCAAAAGGATAACAATAACTGCAATTGAATAACAGTATATTAATAATTAATCAACCGTACTTGCAAGATACTGCTAATAATAACACATATGGATTTCATTATTATGATCTCATCTGTTAGATTCAGTTATTTTGTGAAGACTCGGCGACCATGGAACAGTGTTTCTGGAGAAGTTGACAGTCTCTCAGCTGATCAACAACTGTCCAATTTTTATATAACCCAAAGGTTCAGTACCGTACTCACAAGAGCTCAACACTAGGCTCTGTCAGAAGCCAAACGAAACCAATGTAATGCACTTCCTCACAACCTGTCATACTTCTTAAAATTAATTTCAATAGTATTCTTCTACCTGTGCCTAGGGGTTCCAAGCGATCGTTTACGCTCAGGTTATCCTGGCAACATTCTGTGCCCACTTCACACCGTAGCCAAACCCTCCTGTCAACAAACCCGTCTCCCTCACAAGCAGACGGAATAGCCCTGTGAACAGCTGCTGGTCTTCGACAGCACAGTCATTCCTGGCTTCAGTCAGGAAGTGGTGTGAAATAATCGCTGTTTATTGTGAGAACCATACAGAACACACAAATACACTGTGTGGGCAGAATGCAGTATATTATATAAATTCAGTCCGTACTTCACAGGAAACACATTACGTCTCCACTACAAAGCCCAACCGGTTAATGCTGTTTAGGGAAATAATCGCTGTTTATTGTGAGAACCATACGGAACACGTAAATACACTGTGTGGGCAGAATGCAGTATATTATATAAATTCAGTCCGTACTTCACAGGAAACACATTACGTCTCCACTACAAAGCCCAACCGGTTAATGCTGTTTAGGGAAATAATCGCTGTTTATTGTGAGAACCATACGGAACACACAAATACACTGTGTGGGCAGTTGCAGTATATATAAATTCAGTCCGTACCTCACAGGACACATATTACGTCTCCGTTACAAAGCCCAACCGGTTAATGCTGTTTAGGGAAATAATCGCTGTTTATTGTGAGAACCATACGGAACACATAAATACACTGTGTGGGCAGAATGCAGTATACATAAATTCAGTTCGTACCTCTCAGGAAACACATTACGTCTCTGCTACAAAGCCCAACCGGTTAATGCTGTTTAGGGAAATAATCGCTGTTTATTGTGAGAACCATACGGAACACATAAATACATTGTGTGGGCATTTTAATGTGTTACTGTCCTCGTATATGGCTGAATTGGAATTGAAGTGTTAAACATATCCAGTTATGTGCAGTTCTACATAAATGAAAGGCACACCAACCTGATTATGCCCCTTTTCCTTCACTTGTGATGTACTCTTTTAATGTCGGAAATTAAGCAGTTTGGGTATGAAATGGAGCCCACGACTTAAAGACCGAGGATGTGACACTGTTCTGCCCGGTCAGGGGCCGGCGTTGGTGATGATGTTGATCAGTAGGGGACAAGGAAAGTGGGAGAAATGCCTCGCCCAGCGGCACTTCGGCCGCCACGAATCTAACAGCCACCCGGCGGCATTGAACCCAGAACCAAATATTTCCGTGCTGCAGTGTGAGGAAGGCTGTGGGAATGGCATTCCCGTTCCGTCACTCCGCCCGGCTTCAGATAACGATGAGGAACTGGTTAAGTGCTAAATGGGTGCCTACACTAGCTGCACATGAGTGCCGGTACGTACGTTTGACGTGAGTACAACCACGTGGAAAAGAAATATTTGCGTTGTGAATTTACTGGAGCCGTCAAGCGATTTTACAACCTCTTATTACGATGTAAACAAAGCGAAATGAGAAACCCAATTCTGAGTGCAGGGAGAACTGGTTAGCGGATGCCGTTCTTCCTTGCGCATGCGTGAATCAGTGCGTGCATCTTGCATATGCTGGTGTCTTCCAAAATTCTACGCTAGTGGTTGATATGATATTTAGTTACATGCAGAATGGACCGCGCCATAGCTCAAGCGGTTAGTCGCTGGCTTCCCATCGCGGTGGCCCGGGTCCTATCCCGGGTCTGGGCAAGTGGGATTTGTGTTGGACAAAGTAGTGCTGGGGCAGGTTTTCTCCTCCAGTCTTAATTCCACCAATTGCTCCGCAATCACCCTCGCCTATCATCTGGGGCTGGTACAAGAGGCCAGAAGTGGCCGCAGTACAAGGGACAGGCTGAAAACCCACTGACGCGACTAGTCGCTAGCGGCTAGCCGCTCTTTGTCGCGCGCGTCAGTTAGTTGTAGATATTAGGCGTGCGACAGCTCTGCCGTCTGTGTGCCGCGTTCCAAAATTTAACCGCGCGCGGCTCATAAAAGCAATACAAATAACGGCCGCGAGCGACAACACTCTACAAACCGCGCACGGCTTGTCGCGTCAGTGGATTTTCAGCCTTAGTCCCACCCCACTAGCAATAAAAAAATACATGCAGAATCCTGGCAGGAATACCTGCAGGGAAGAGACCACTAGGAAGACCTAGTCGTGGATGGAAGGATACTATTAAAACAGATCTTAAAGAAATGGGATGGGCGGGTGTGAACTGGATTCATCTGGCTTAAGACAGGGACCGCTGGTGCGCTCTTCTGAACCCGGTTGTGAGCCTTCGGGTTGTGTCAAATAATGTGAATTTCTGTGACTAGCTGAGTAACTGTTAGCTTCCCTGTGGAGTTTGTTGGTAAGTTTGTTAGTTCGCATTTAATTTGTTCATGCCGTGACTAGGGCGATTGCGTCGTCGGCTTTTGACTGCGGAGGCCTAGTTTGAATCCCAGGAAAGTCCAGGTGCATTTTGTAGAGGACTGAGTGGCACACGGAAAAAGTTTTCCCCGAACACTTCGGTTTTCCCCTGCCAGTTCTCATGCCACTTTTTCTCCCCACTTGGGGAGGCTGGTACCGAAATGTGTCCCACATGTATGCCACAGCCTATCTGTTGCGTATGAAATGTCTGTAACAGTATGCGCAACATCGCCATGTTTTGACGGGAGGTTCGTGGGTCCAGCTCCGATTTATTTTCTGCCACCCCTGCACATGCGCCATGAGTAACCCAGGGTGTAACTGCAGTATAGAGACAGTGTGTATAGCTGTGGTTAACTTGAAGATGGCGACGGCGTTGCACGCCGAAACAAATACATGATCCAGCCAAAATCCTGAAAATGGGAGTTACATGTTAGAAAGAAACCTCGAAAACTTCAAGGGTGAAGGGTAAATCAGCTGTTTCGACGTGGGGAAGAGCTTTGCTGTGAACTTTTGCGGACCTACTCTTCTGGTAATCCGGATTATGACGCCATGGAGTCTGGTAGGTGGGTATCCACAATTTTGAGATGACAGTCGGGGACGCACAATTTTCAAGCCCGGTTGAAGCTTTGTGTAAAATAGGCCTGTGGTACGAGTAAGACCTCAGTTAAACTTTAGCATGATTTTTTTTTTAATTCTGCCCGTCACCAACTTTGAAAATGAGGGCAAGAAGTTCATTCAGTGTTGCTAGATACAAGACTACACGGCGGCGCATTCCAGGAGACCGTAATCTTAGCATTTATCTACGTGAGAGCCTCAGGTCCTGGACGGAACCTGTGGATTGATCTGGCTCAGGATAGGGACCGCTGGAGGGCTCTTGTTAAAACGGTAATGAACCTTCGGGTTCTATAAAATGCTGGGAAGTTCTTGAATAGCTGTACAATTGGCATGTTCTCAAGAGTGAGCCTTAGGTCTCCTGAACAGACTTCGTCACGCGGGCCACCTCTGTTCATCAGTGAGTGTGGGCCTTCACTGCGCTTGCGCGCAGTTGGCAGCCCTTATCGGGTGCCACTTGCGTTTTGTGAACTTTGTAATTTTCAACATTTGTCATTTTGAGCGAAACGACCGCCTCTTGTAGACAGCTGAGGAATGTGGCATCCTGCCAGCTCTAGGCTTTGTACGAAGAGGCTTGAACCCAACTAGGTCGCAGTTGCCGCATATGCAAATGTTCTGCG